CCTTAGATGAACCTCCAGCTGCCCCAGCTGTCCCCACATCTGGAAGGAGAGTAGTGGAGGCCTCAAGTAGTAGTGGAAACCAGTGAAGGATCTCAACACTATGGTTTATCATTTCCTTGGTCCCCCAGGGCGCTCTCCAAGGCTGCACCCATTGACATTCTGTTTACTTTTCTTTCTCTGGTGTAGAGTCCATGATGAGTGGATGAGATGCACGTGGCTTTTAGGGATCTTTGACAAAGAACGATAAAGACATAGGGAGACAAGGGCTGAGTTGATAAGTTCATAAATTTATTTTCATGTTGCGGTATAAAAAACATGAATTAAATCCCAACCTGGTGAACTAATGATTTATAATCTCTAATCTAATCTAAAAGTGCTTCTGATCACTTTCCTTCCAAGAGAAATCTCGCCTAACCAGCACAGTGCTTCTTCTCCTAGTCTCCACAGGGCTCATCTTGGTATTTTGGGAAGAACTCCCGGTATGCCCCAGGCCAAAAGAGTCATCTTTGGTTAGAAAATCACCAGCCTCGCCTCTGAAGGAAGCAAGATCTAACCTGATTGTGGCCGATAGCTCTGGCCTCAGCGCGTTCCTTATTGAGCTGATCTTCTGCCTGGAACAGACCTGGCCTAGCCACGCAGTCAACACCTGTGCTGGAGACTGTCACGGAGATTGACATGGGGGTGAGGGTGGGGGGGGGGAAGGGGAGCCCCGATTCCGATGAGACTCCGAGGCTTGATGGCTGTAGCTCTGTCTCAGGATATGACAGCATAGTTAGAAAAGGGCAAGCCAATGGAACCTCTCTGTGTGAGCGCAATAAGTGAGGGGCTTCCGTCATCTTTAGACAGGCATAGGCGGGATTAAGACAATATCCAATGCTTCCATAGAGCTACTCTTGTGGTAAGAGCTACATGAAGCAGCTAAGCTAGTTGATGAGGTTAGAGCAGGTGTTCAGTGTTCAAGTAGCATGAGTTCATGAGCTGAGTAAGGCAGCTGGCTTACTCAGCTCAAACCAGTTTACTCATTTGAATTTGAGATGTCTCAGCCCTGAAATGAAGGTTCTGGGTTCGGTGATGAGGTAGTTAGTGGGCTCCGGCTTGTGCCAGAGAGGTGGGGGGCACGAAGAATCTCAGCACATGGGGGAGTCTACTTCATGGGGCAAGTTTATCAATTTTGGAGGTGAAACTGTTGGTCAAGTATTTTACAGACTAGGGTAAGTAAGCTGAGCATAGAATAGGTCCAATCACTCATTCAATATGTATGGAGAGTCCAGTATGCCCAGCACTATGCTGGGTCCTGAGGGATAGAACAGTGAAGAAGACACATGAGGTCCCACTCTTACCCTATCAGGGGCACAGGGAATCAATACATAAAGAAGTAAAGACCCAGGGCCGAAGAGATGGCTCAGTGGGTAGAGGTGTTTCTGCACAGGCCTGATGACCCGAGTTCCATCCTCAGACCCCACAAGGTGGCAGGAGAGAACAGATTCCTGAGAGGTGTTTCGTGACCTCCATATGTATGCTGTAGCAGATACACATACAAATACACATGTAAACACTCACAAATAAATGTAATAAGAAAATTAGTTTTTTAAAAATAGAGATAAAAGCTAAGATCTAAAGAAATAATTATAAATTACATTGTGATTAATTAATTAATTACATCATAATTACATTGTGACATTGGGTGGCTTGGAGACAGCCCATGGAGAAGCCGCCTGTCGGCTGAGACTTCAAGGGTGTTGAGGACCAAACAGATGTTTAGAAGTGACAACACAGTTAGGCTTCCAATCTTTCTCTAGGTAGAAAGTGGCACTTTTTACAAGGATAATTACATCGTAGAAGACATAGAAAAGCAAGAGGGTGGTAGCCGTGGGGTTCTAGCATGGAAAGTGGGCAGCTGAAACCATCAATGAGTCCCTTGCCAGAGCTGGGGAGGATGTTTCCACAAGCTTTTTTCCCTTATCTGTTGAGAATATGGAAAACTTCAGAAGGCTGTGATGCCAATTGGAGTGCTTAGTAAAGCCTAGTAGTGGTGGTGGTGATGATGGTGTTGACAATGATAATGATGTTGACGATTAATATGACAGCAGGCAATATATCTAGTATTAGTAGATACGATTTTAAGAAACAATTTTTATGTGTTCCAAACACTGTTGCACTCTTTGGAAGTATTAGTTATTTAATCTTCACAACTATTGGAGCTAAGGTGCTATCCTTACCCTTTCCCCATTTTAACAGCGGGAAAACTGAAGTTTAGGGGAATACTGTCATGGACCCAAAACTGTGTAGCTGGTATCTGATGAAGGATGTGTGATTCTGGTCTCTGTTTCTATCTCTGTTTCTATCTCTGTGTGTCTGTGTATGTGCCTCTCTCTGTGTCTGTCTGTCTCTCTCCTCTTTTAGTTACACATGTAAGGGTTCCATCACATCAAATTTTCCTCTCTCTATATCTATTTAGGTATGTGTCATCACACTGATCCTTACGTTACACTGCCTCTTGTAGGCCTCAGTCAAATAGTCATAAATATCTGGTGTAGAAGTGTCTTTAGAGACCAGAGATTTCCAGTGTGGTCCTCACAAAGACCCTGCTCACTGGACAGACAAGGAGAATCAGAGGCTGAGAATCAGATCATAACAAAGCAGCATGGATTCTGAATTCTCACTTCCACTCGCCTGTGCTTTACACCATCATAACCCGCCCCCCTCCGCCTCATTTCCTCACTGGAAACTCCTGGCAAAAGTGACTGAATAGAATTGTCTTCCCAAGAGGGGAGAGACAAGGACCAAGTAAGATAATGCACACAAAACTTTCGGTGCAGTGCTTGGTCCGCAGTGAGTGTGCAACACACGCCTGTGCCTTTGTGTAAGTCCACACGGTCAGGTTCCGTGCTCAGGGGTGCACTCTTTGGACTGTGACTGGGGAAGGGAGATTGGAAGTTCTTGGGTGGGGAGGAGGTTTCCTCTTCCTGGGCTTGCCATGTTGATTGACAGGCAGCAAGACCTTGTTCAAACCCATCATAATGAAAGTAAAATGCAGTTGGAAGTCTTGTAAGCCACCATCAAAACTGTCGGGTGCAGGAGAGGAGCTGCTTGTCTAAATACATGGCTTTTCATTCCTGAGTTGCTCTTTAATTATAGGCCTTCTTTGAACACTCAAACACAAGGCCTTTGTACACTGTAACTCCCTCTTACACACATTCCTCCCATATGCCCACTTTCCCTTTCATTTATAGAGTATAAACACCCATCTCTTACTCATTCACATAATGAATTTCAGATCCTTTGTCTCAGTTAAGGAGGGGCCTCAGTAGAATTATGGGCATCTGTCAGTCTTCCTGTTCCAAGGCCCTAGAGGGCTCTTCTAAGGTTCTTTATGGGGAGAAGATAATGGGCAGAAAGAACTCTTCGTTTAGGGACCTGGCCCAGTTTTCTCTTTCTTTGACGATGGAACCCGTTTGCTGGAGTAGCACATCTCTAACACATTCCCCAACCCTTTCTCACCACCTTCTTCATCCTTAAACCTGTCACACTCCCCCTCTAGTGTTCTCTTCCGAATGCAACCCAGAGCATTTGTTTCTTGAAAGACTTTCTGCTTACCAAGAGAGACTAGGTAGGAAAGCCTCCTTCCTCTATATGGTTTTTATTTTTGTTGGTGAAAAAAAGAGATTCTGCCCAGATTTGTTTATTTTATTTTATGTATATGAGTGTTTTGCCTGCATGCATGCCTGTGCCTGAAGAGGTTAGAATGCATTGGACCCCCTTGCCCTGGAGTTATGGATGGCAGTGAGTCATTGTGTGGATGCTAGGAACTGAACCTGGATCCTCTGCAAGATGGTGCTCTTAGCCCCTGAGCCACCTCTCCAGTCCCAAATTATGCAAAAACATGAGAAGCTTGAAGTCTAGTGCCACACTCAGTTCCCCAGGCTTATCTCCAAGCTGGATGGGAACTTTACAGCATGATTGTGCTTCCTCCATCTGATCCATACTCTCCCATCCCAGTGCCCTGCCCTATACTTGAAAAGGATCAAATGGCATATAGAAGATGCATGGTCTACTTTTGCTCCTGCCCACCAGTCCCTTGGCTGTCCTGGGTAGAAGAGAAGCAGCATTTGCTTGTCTGTCTCCTTTAGGCACTAGGAAACCGGTAAATGTTAAGTAAGGGCTAGCATGAGCTATACCTCCAGCATGACCTATTTTGAGGGCCCTTTGCTATGTATGCATGGGGAGACGGAGACACTAAGTGGCAGGGCATTTGGATTCCTACCTTCGTCTGCTCTCTTCTCTGGGAGATCCGGGCTGTGGGAGGAGGAGTTGAAGATTTCAGTGGCTTAAGACCAGAGAGAACAATCAGATAATTAGGAAGTGATGCGGGTTTTGAGAGTTTGTCATCTTTGTTTGGAAATACAATTTATTTAATTATAAGTTTATAGAATTTAATTTTAAATAATGACTGCGCTGAACAGCTGCCTGGCAGAATTCCTGCAAATCTGACAGCCTGGCTGGGCCCAGACAGCACAGCACTAACCCCACCGGGCAGTCCGTGGACCCGGGTGGCTCTGGGTTCAAGAAGAAGCTGGCTCTGTTTCTTGGAGGTTGCTCTCCCAACACTAAGATGTTTAAAGGGGGTCTCTTTGGCTTGAGGTCTTTTAGGAGACTTGATGGTTAAGAAGCAGCGGGTGGGCCTGCTGCAACGGAGGAAAGAGGTGGACCTGGAAAAGGGAGTCAGTACTGTCTTAGTTCCTGACTCCCCTAACCGGAAGGCTAAGACTTAGGGAACTCACAGATGCCCAGCCAGGCAGTACTGACTGATGCATCTCAGTACTGGGGTACCTAGGGCAAAACGCGAATAGACTCCAGCCTTGGTTTCTTAGGTCAGCCCACGCCTCCTGCCTCAGCAGAACGCCACTCCCTCCCCGCCAAGTGGCTCTTGTTCAGGAGGCGGGACCGAGTTCTCCGGTGGCCCCTGGAGGCTCCAGGCTGCGAGCTCTGGGAGGCTGGGAGGGGAGTGAGGGGAGAGGCGCTGACTGGGCAGTCCAAAGAGGAGGGGGCCTTTTATAGGCTCGCCCAGCGCCTGGTTTGCTGCACCGCGAGTGGCTGCGGTTAGCGAAGCAGCCCGCTACCTCGCGCCACTTCGCCACGACAAATTTTCGCCTGTGCACTTGACAGCGATCGTACTAAAAGCTCCCAGAGCGCGTTTTGCTTAGGGAGGAACAGGTAGGAGGCGCGGGCTGCCCCGTGCACGCTTGCAGCTCTGGAAGGAGTCTCCACGACTTGGTTGGCTGTCCTTTCTGGTAGCTGCCTGTTGTCCCGGGCGTTGGTTTGTGGGCTACAAGGGGACAGTGCCTGCCGTGGGAGCCGGGCTAAGTCCCATCTCAGAGCGCGGCTGTGCGCGGCTGTGCGCAGCCCGGCGCCATGCTTCTGCTGGGCATCTCAATCTTGGCTCTTGCCTGGCGACCTGCTGGCAGCTCCGAGCCGGAGTGGGAGGTGGTCGTTCCAATCCGACGGGACCCGGACATCAATGGCCGCCACTACTACAGGAGGGGTACGGAGGACTCCGGGGATCAGGGTCTCATTTTTCAGATCACAGCTTTCCAGCAGGACTTTTACCTACACCTGACGCCGGATGCCCAGTTCCTGGCTCCCGCCTTCGCTACTGAGTATCTAGGTGTCCCCTTCCAGAGGCTCACCGGCAGCTCTCTAGACCTGCGACACTGCTTCTATTCCGGGTACGTGAACGCGGAGCCAGACTCCTTTGCTGCTGTGAGCCTGTGCGGGGGTCTCCGCGGAGCCTTCGGCTACCGAGGCGCGGAGTATGTCATTAGCCCTTTGCCCAACGCCAGCGCGCAGGCGGCGCAGCGTCACAGCCAGGGCGCACACCTTCTCCAGCGCCGGGGTGCTCCGGTAGGGCCTTCCGGAGACCCTACCTCTCGCTGCGGGGTGGCCTGGGGCTGGAACCCCGCCATTCTGAGGGCCCTGGACCCTTACAAGCCACGGCGGACGGGCGTGGGGGAGAGCCACAGTCGGCGCAGGTCTGGGCGCGCCAAGCGCTTCGTGTCTATCCCACGGTACGTGGAGACACTGGTGGTGGCGGACGAGTCAATGGTCAAGTTTCACGGCGCGGACTTGGAACATTATCTGCTGACGCTGCTGGCCACGGCGGCGCGACTCTACCGCCACCCCAGCATCCTCAACCCCATCAACATCGTTGTGGTCAAGGTGTTACTCCTAGGAGACCGCGACACCGGGCCCAAGGTCACAGGCAACGCTGCCCTGACTCTGCGCAACTTCTGTGCCTGGCAGAAAAAGCTGAACAAAGTGAGCGACAAGCACCCTGAGTACTGGGACACAGCCATCCTCTTCACCAGACAGGTGAGTTGATCTGTCACCTCTTAGGACTCAACCCCATTTTCTTAGTGTCATTGCGTTTAGCTCTCCAAAGCTCCTTTGTGCCACTCAATGCCTCCTTTAAATTGGTTTCTTCCGAATTCTAGCGTTGGAAGTTCTAATTAGAGCCAGCCTTCTCCTAAGCTCAGCAGAGCTCCACCTCACGTGCTTCTGGGAGGTTGGAGGAGAGTCTGCTTCTTTCGAAGGTGTTGTCTTGACGCAGCCAATCAGCACCTTCTGGATCAGGCGCGGAGGGGCTGGAACCCGGGAAGTTGCCGCCCCTGAGCTGCAGTTTGTCTTCAAGGCTGATAGGAGGCGCTATGAGGATAGTGTTATAGATGGTGGGAATGGGAACCTCCGCCTCCCCTATGAGGGTGGCTAAGTTTTCTCTGACATCTCTAGCAGGCTTACTTTTGCTGAATGTAGTACTGGAAGGTGATTCAAGGTCAATCCCTGCTACATTTCTAGTGGGCAGCATGTCATCCTTTCTCTGCGTTGGGTCTGGGAATCCTGGACTGAGATGGAGGGGACCGGTAGAAAAGTTTGTGGGTTGCTGTGAAAGACCAGACTTAAGCATAGTCTCCATTGCTGCTTCTCCCTCCACCCTTCTCTGTCGGGCCTTGTCCAGTGACTTCCATACTGTTCTGAGCATGCAGTGTAGTAAGGGCACCTGTTTGGAACTGGAACTATTTCACTCGGAGTGTCACTAAGAATTGAGCCGGGGAAACTATCTCCCGATTTTCTCCCATCCTTGTTAGTAGATGACGACCCGTTTGAGCAGCTGCATTCTAAGCCGCAGAGCAGACAAGACCGCTCATGTTCCAGTCCTAAGATCCTCCCTTGCTGTGCAAGGTGGTGTGAGCGTAGTCAAGAGCATTTGGACATTCCAGCCGCAGGGCTGAAAAGACACTAAGTTGGGACTAAAGAGATGAACCCAGATGGGGGGAGATAGCCTTGCCTTCCTCATGTCTTTACTCGACCTTCTATCTCAAGAACTGGTGAACATTTAGAACCCTAAGCGTTGACTTAAAAGTTGGGCACTGTGACGATCTGGATTCCTGAAATTCTTTAAACACTGGAGGAATAGAGTCACCCAAGCGCCCCGCTTTCTCTGCTTTGGGGGGCCGTGACTCGAATCCCTGTAGTGCGCTTGTATTTTCGTCCTCATTACCACAGCACTACAGCCACAGCCCAGAGTTCTTGGTTACCTCCATGCCGCTAACTCTCATTGTTACTAAATGGCCACTTAGAGTTGGTCTGGCGCCCAAGAGCTGGAGCCGGAGTCTTCCACAGTAACCCATTTGGCACAGCTAGTCCCTTCCTGCAATGGAACTTCCTCCTTTCCCAGCCTCTTCTCCTCCCACCACCTGGTTTCTCTAGGGAGGTCTTTGGCCTGAGTCTTGTTTCCTTGTACTCATTCTTCCAACTGAGGTTTGTGGAGCGGCCGCAGCCCAGCCCGGCAAGCCCTGCTTGAGTCATGGGGAAACTGCAGAAGAGCCTTCGACTTCTGCACCCAGACCAGCTCTGCAGTCAGATTTCTGGGAGAAAAAAAAAAAAAAAGCAAAGGCCAAGAACAGGATCTCTTAATGGGTAAAGCAGCTGCTGTCCCATCTGCTACCTGAGATGCCCCTGCGGAGGTCGCTCCCTGGCTCTAGAATAACAGACCTCAGTGCAGTTGTGAAGGCTTGAGTTTTGGAACCGACCTCGAGAAGAAGAGCCCCCGCTGGGGAAGTAGGCCATGTCGTCAGAAGGAGATGGCCTTTTTTGAAGAAGCAGCAAGCGCACAGCACGGAGCGGGGCAGCTTCTGTTTCTCAGTGGTGTGCTAGACCCCCAGGGGGCCATGTCATCTGTGCATAATGGGTACAAGCTGCATGACCACTTGGGCCAGAAGTGGTGATGTGCAAGATGTGGCTTAGAAGCTGTTCTCCTCTTAGGCATTTAGAGGGCAGAGCCAGAGAGCAGGGAGTCTGTTGGCAGGCCCATCATCAAGGTATGTGTGTCATGCTTGTATAAACAGCTCCTCCCCCACCTCCTCGCCAGCACAGATTTTGGGGCCTGCTGTACTCTCAGAGTCTTAGGAACTTCTCATTCCTGAGGCAGCCCCCCCTCCCTCACCCCTAGTCTCCCTGGGGAAGGTAGAGTGTTGGATGAGAACACGGGCAAACAGCTGTTCTTTCTAGACCAAGACAAATGGGATCTCCAGGAACCTTAGCTGTCCGGAAGAGGGAATACATTGATCATACAACAAGTGTTTTGACAATTGGAAGAGTTTCTGTAAAGATTCAGAATAAGTTCACGGACAAAGAGAGCACATCTGATTTTGCAAAGCAGCCAGCCTCCAGGCTCATAACAGCAGGGTGAGGTCAGCCCAGGAAAGGAACGAGGAGCTGCCGAGGATCAGAGCCAGAATCATTCTCACTTATTTCTATGAGGAGCACAACAACTCTGGCTTCTTGTTGCACCAGCTGCAGATGCCAGGTATTTCCTGCTGTGACTCAATAGACCCCGATTTCCTGAGTCCTCCTTGATTTCAGGTCCAGTGCCTCTGTTGTTTCAGTAACCCTTTGCGGTAAATGGCTTTTGTCCATTCACTCATCCATTCTCTTGGTACTTCTTGAGCATCTATGACTTCCATGTACTATTCTGGCTGGAGCTGAACATTTGAATAAGGTGTGGCCCAGCACTCCCGTCCCACCAGGAATGATCAGTGTGGCAAAGAGCTGTGTGTGTGTGTGTGTGTGTGTGTGTGTGTGTGTGTGTGTGTGTGTGTGTGTGTGTGTGTGTGTGTGTGTGTGTGCTCTCTTCCCAGGAGCTGAGGATGCTCTCTAAGAGCCTGGGTGCAGAAAGGGCTCCTGGCAGCACTGAGTGAGGACAGAAGTCTGCTTCTGTGTTGTAAGTGACCTTCAATCCTTCCACCATCTGCTTCACTATTTGTGACATTTCCTCTCTTGACATGACTTCATTTTCATTTTTATGACTTGCAGTTTATGTTTTCCTCCTGCTCTCACTCATTTTATTTTTCTTTGCTTAGAGTCATTTCATGGAATTCTCTTTCGCTTCTTTAACCTTTCCTTTCTTCCACTTTGGGGGTTATCCGGGGGACTCAACTGTCTTTTTTTTTTTTTCCATCCATACTCGGAGCTTTCCCCTCTCCCAACCCTAAAGTTTGGTGCTGATTTTGTGTTCTTCGTCTTGAGCAGTACCACGTCTTGTGTGTGTGCACCCAAGTGAGTGTAGGTACCCGTGGAGGTCAGACATGTAAGATTCCTCCTAGAACTGGAGTCGCAAAGTGGTTTTGAGCTGTTTGACTTGGAGGCTGGGAACTGAACTTCAGATCTTCTGCAAAAGCAGTATGTGCTCTTAACTGTTAAGCCATCTTTCCACACCCTGTGTCGGGGCATGGAATGGGGTGTTTTCTATACTGTGCAAAGCAGAATCTTTCAGGAAACAGAGCCTAACGTTTTCTATAAATCAAATACTTGCAGCAAGGTAGTGCATTATGTGTTCAGATTAAAGGCTATGAATAGTAAGATGATTTGTGTTTTATATCCACCTCCCAGCATGGTGAGAAGGAATTTTTATTCCATCAGGCTCTGGTTTGAAGTCAGACTTTGGAAGATATTGGGAGAGAGGAGACATTTGAGGATTTGGTATTGCCATTTCTTGGTCACAACATGGCAGTGCACCACTGCTTTTGAAATGAGAAAAGGGAGGTGGGGAAAGAGAGGAACAGTGGAATATAGTTGTTCTGTGTCTCATAGAGTGAGTACTCCCCATTTTTTCCTACTCCAAATAAGTAAGCCTAATATTGACGGCAGAAGATGGGGTGGAGGTAGGGAGAATCCTTCCTTCTGTGTGGCATCTTCTAAGTATCCGAGGCTAGTTTGAGTGCATGGGCTCATGGGCTTCTTTCTACTACTGTCTCAGCTTTAGCCTGCCCTTTTCCTCCCTTCCTCCCTCCTCCCTCTTTTCTCCCTCCCCTCCTTCCTATCGCCCTTCTTTCCTTTCCTTCTTTCCTTTCTCCCCCCTCCCCTTTTTGATCTATTCTACTGTACAGTTCAGGTTGGCCTCAAGGCTCCTGCTCGTCCTGCCTCAGCCACCAGAGTGAGGGCTTCCTCTCACCCACCCCCTTTTACTAAAGAAAAACAATGATTTATTCTTCAATTTATTTTATGTGTAGAAGTGTTTTGCCCGCATGTGTGCATGTGCATCACATGTGTGCTTCATCCCCTCGTAGGTCAGAGGAAGGCTTTGAATCCCCCAAAACTGGAATTGTGGGTGGCTGTGAGCCACCATGTGGGTGCTGGGAACTGAACCATGGTCATCTGCAAGCGCAATAAGTAAGAGCAATAACCACCGAGCCATCTCTCCAGCTCCATTCCTTCTCTCTAACTACTGGGTTAGTTAACAAAGATGATATCTCCTGCCTTAGGTATTGCTGCCTACCTTCCTTTGAACCTCACTGTGGTTATCTCATCCCCTCCACACCTCCATGCTCTTCCCGCTCTGTCTTGATCCCTTAACTTGGACACATGGTACAATGGAAATGAATACTTGGCTTGGAGTCAAGCAGAGCTGAGCGAGAATCTCAGCACTTGGATTTCCTACCAGCGGTCAGCTATTTGAACTCCACTACCCTCATCTTTAGAAGGCAGAGCATCATATTCAACTTGGGCAGCTACTTTGAGGATGAGCTGCCTAATCATCTAGCAGAGGCTTTCAATGGTGGCAGCTGCCCTTTTCACTACTTTAGCGGTTGCTTTGCCGATGTCTCTTGTTCTTGAATAAGTACACACGGGTCCTTTGCCAAAAATGTAAATTTGGGATAGCCCTGATTTAAAGCATTTTGTAGCATTGCACTTGCAAGTATGTCATACTTGCCTGATTATTAATACTCTTGTGTTTGTGTGAGGATTGTACATCAGTACTTGGCAGTTCCTTTAAGGCAGGCATCACATCATGCCTTTGTAGCCCCTGCCCGGGCCCATGCATCTGGTAGTTCATCAGGTGCATGGAAGGAAGGTTCAGGGCAAAGTGCTGGCTGCCTGAAGCTGTTGGGTGCTTGAGTACTTTGCCTCTGCCTGGGGACCATTAATCCAGCTTTCAGGCTGTCAAGCTGCAGGGTTGATTTCTTCTGGCGTTTCTTCTTGGCTCTCTGCCACCAGGCTTTGCCCTAGAGAAAGGTGGGGCCCCATGGAGGAGCATGTTAATCCACCCTGGAGTCAGTAGACAGGGTGCACAGCAGGGACAGGGTCAGTGTGTCAGTGCAGGTGTGGGGCGAGGAGCCAGCAGCTTGCTCAACCAGCGTGGCCTCAGCAGATGCTGCTGCGATCATTTATTCTAGCCGGTTCCCTCTCCCTGGGATTCTCCTCACCTGTGGTCACCAGCACTGCCTTGACCTAGTGGTCTGGGTGTGTGTGTGTGTGTGATCATTTCCCTCTTGAGTGTCTTCTGCACCTTCATTCTTGGAGTAGATAATGCACTGCAGAAGGAATCCTGCTAGAACTCAGCCCAGGGGCTACACTCTTACCTTTCAACCTCTACTCTGCCTAACTTGGAGTTCTCTGCAACCCTGGGACAATGACCTACTCTATGTGGCTCTCTTCTGTAAAACAGAGCTTAGTAATGGCATCTCTTCTGAAGGGGGATTCATTGAGTAATCCAGGTAGAACTCTTGCTGCAGCATCTGGAACACTGTGGCAACCCACTAACTGCCAGCTGTCCTCACATAGTTGACAAGTACCCTCTCTTGAAGTGCTGGTTTCTAGAGAGGTTCAACCTTCCTGCAGATGTGTTGGCTTCTGTTCTTCCTCAGCCAGGCAGTTACTGTCCTTTGGACTATTCTAGTCTCTTGTGCTAATTCCACTTCATACCTTTGGAAGGATTTATATGATGGTGATACCACATTTGTTAATAGGAATAGCCCACCTTCCAGGCTTCACTGTACCTTTTTTCTTAGTTTTTTTCTTAGTTGCATAAGCTCCGAATTGTCAGATTTCACTTCTGGAAAAGCAAAGCCATTATTAGAAATCATAAACAAATAGATTTTGTGACAGACGAAATCATGATGACACACAGTACAAATTCATGTGGGAAACAAGCCAGGGGCCCAGTTAACACTTTCTGTTGGTGATCGTTGTATCCTTTGTAGTAGGATGTAAGACCCCGAGCTTCACTTAATAGTACATGGCCTTGGGTGTGTAACTTCAGCTCATCTGCAAACTGACAAGTTGGTTCTGAAGTTCTGGATGGCTATGGACACTGGAATGTCATTTACAAGGAGCCCTGGCTCAGGAACCTGGTTACATAAGAACACATAGATTTTTTTCCCCTCCCTGCCAAAATAAAAAATTTATGGGCTGGATTGTTGTGGTTCCCCTTCCCTTTCCCCTTGTGCTACTGGGAAACAGTGTCTCAGTATCTGCATGTGCACCAGACGAGATAAGGGAGAGGTCCACAAGGAAGGCAGAGAGTCAGGGATTTGGGCAGCGGATGTATGTGGGGAGCAGTATTGGTGAAGATGTATCTGGCCACCACAAAGTGCCAGTCTTATTTAGACCTCCAAACCTCACCAGGAAAAGTTAGGAAAGCAGAGTCCACGAGGATCAAGTTCTTGGCTCTGATGATTCTTGGATCCTCTGGAAAAGCAGCTGTGATTGTAAGAGAAATGGCAAATTGCCAGAAACAGTGAATCAGGTAGAGACTGGGCTGAAAGATGCCTGCGTCTTCCGGGTAGAAAGAAACAGGGCAATGTCTATACTTTAGAGACCAGTGCCTGAGCTAAAAGAGGTTAGAGCAAACCGAGTGGCTCCGAGTTCATTCAAACAGGGTGGAGACATTCATTCTGTGCCCATTTATGAGGTACATCTGGGCCCTGTGCAAACACCCGTGGGCATTCTCAGCTCAAAATCCCAGGATCACCATTTGCTTCCTTGACTGGGTGAAGGGGGACAGAACTTCTGACCCTAGCAGCATGTCTTCCCATCCTGAAGATGCTGGTGACTGGGGGCTGTCTGTCCCCTGCAACATCCCTCCCCACAGGGACTTCGCTTATTCCCTTTATTTAATCCATGAAGCTAAGGTTTCTTGATAGAAAGAACAGGTTGCTCCTGCCCAGGAAGGGCCTTCAGTTGCTCATCTGTGCGAGGGAAGATCTACTCTCTAAAGAGGAAAGGCCTTGCTACAGAGACCTCCCAGCTGCAGAGGCTGCTACAGGGAAGTTAGGATCCCATGCCAGCTCTTGCTCTGGTCTGGTCACTTTCGGGCAGTGTGGGAATGAGCAGGGGCAGAGGAGCCTGCCTTTTCCTGTGAGTTGTATTGCTCAGCGTGCATCAGTAGATTAGAGGCCCCTATGGTTCTTTCTGTTCTAAAAGTAGGTCATGCTGTGTGTTCCTGTCAAAACCAGCAGGGCCAGAAGGGGCTGAGCCCTTCGGACTGGAGAAGGAAGGAGAAGAGGTTTAAGTCATGGGAGGGTTCGAGTTCTAGTTGAGAACTGGCTCTTCCCCTGAGTAGCAAACTGAGGCTTTAAGGAAAAGAGGCAGTTGGCCCAAGACACATAACCGCTTAAGTAACGGGACCTAGATCTCTTGGTTCTTGTTCCTGTGTCCCGTCTCTCTTGCCTGAGGTCAGCCTGAGTGTGTGGGTGGCCTGCAAGCCACAGACTGTTCTTGTCCTGGAGGCTGGAGGCTTAAGCTGTAGGTCTGGAATCTCCAGATCACCACCTCCAGCAACGGAGGTCTGTGCTTTAGTGTCCACGGGCACATGGTGCTTTGGCCTAGCCTTGTCTTAAGGGTTAAGTTCTGTATTAAGAAATACACGAATTACTGTGTATTTCTTTCATATCTTCCACTTTCCCTCCTGTCCCAAGCTCGTCTGTGATCTTTTGACAGGGGCTGTTTCTTAGGTTTTTAGGGCTCTAGGGAGAACTTTCTGGGAGGTGAGGTCTTTGAAAAGGGAAGGGTACCAGGTCAGGAAGGGAAAGGAGTTGGAGGTCTCTTGTGAAGTTCCTGGAGGTGTTACACTGTTCACACAGGCTGTAGCACAGAGGTAGGGCATGCAGAGCACCTGTCACTGACTCTGGCACCTCGGGTTCAGGCTGGTCACCCTCATGGTTCTCTGGCCAGAAAAACTGTTAACTCATTAGTTGTGATTATCACCTGACCGTGGGAAGGCAAGTTTGACTGCTCAGGTGGTAAACTTCTGAGTGCTTTGGATTAAGTTTTTGCTGATTCTCTCTGTACTATGACCACTTTCATCTCATGCCTTCTGGCCCCACGAACCCTGTTGCTTCCTACCATCCCCAAGATCAGCATACACACACACACACACACACACACACACACACACACACACACACACACACACACAGAAAGATACACAAAGGAAACAAAATTGAGTAGAGCTCTGCAGATATGCTTACCTTGACCTCCCGGTTTTCACAGGAGAACATGGCAGCTTATTCTTAAGCATTTCTGAGCCATTGGCTGTGACATCCAAATCCCCAGTCACACAGACCCTTAGATTGTGACTCTTCTGTGTGACTTGAGCCTCCCCAAGCATCAGCTTCTTTGTGGGAGGGGATAACTAGCCAATACTTCAGTGGACAGTAGTGAGGATTAGATAGAGTCATACATGTGGAATTTGTGCCTGGTGTTGGCTCTTAGTGAACCATGGTCACGATTAGTTATGATCATGGGCTTACTTTCCACCTTTCAAAAATAGCTGTGATGATACATCTACCTTCTAAGACTGTTGTGAGGGCCAAATCTCCATATATTTAAAAAAACAATGACATAAAGGAGAGTATGTTGGTGTGACTGATTAAACATCCACCTTCTGAGAGGAACAAATTGTACACGAGTATTGTCCCATTTCCAACTTCTGGGTTCTCAGGGTTTCTAGATGCATCCATGGCCTATAATACTGAGCAAGGCTTTTGGGATTTCCATTGGTGGAGTCCCATTTTTCATTTAGCATCCTCTGGAAATAGTTCCTAATACAGTGTGCTGCTGGGAGGCCTAGCTTCTGCACCAGCAGGCTTCTAGATAAGAAAGGGGGACCCTCCCACTTAGGTGATGATCTCTGTCTTTTATTCCTAGCGACCCTTCAGTCTGTGCTCCCCTTGAGCTCTGGTACCTCAATAAACTTTGTGTAGACAGTGGCTCAGGTTCACTCTTCTCTGCTTCCTGTCAGCTCAGGGAAGCCAAGTCTCTGGCTGGGGTAGATCCTTGGCTGGCCAGCCTATGGCTGAGAATCTGAACTTAATTCATTGTTGTCCAAAAGGCAGTCACTCAGCAAAGACAGAGACTGCTCGGAGCTGCCCGTGGATGGGGAACATGGTTGCTTTCTACCCCTGACATGCCTCAGGGAGCTGTGATCAGAACCCCGCCCTACTGTGGGAGTCACTCTTTTCCTGACCTTCTCTATATAAAGCTGTGGTCCTTGTAGTCTAATTCTGTACCTCCTAATTTCCTCCCACAGGACTTCCCTGGGTAGGGTACAGTCTTCTCAGTGAGCCATGGAGCTTTCTTCTTGGGGCCACTTCCTTCAGCCTGGGCTGATTCCTTGAATAAGGCTCCACCAACCTTTAGCGAGAAAGATCTGGCTGAAAGACACTGGGGCTAGACGGCAGCAGCAAGACTCATAGAATGCCCTTTGTTTTCGCCCGGCCCCTTCTGTTCCCATCTCTAACTTTCATCTGGCTCCTCTTCTCCTCCATCTGGCAGGACCTCTGTGGGGCTACCACCTGTGACACCTTGGGCATGGCTGATGTGGGTACCATGTGTGATCCCAAGAGAAGCTGCTCTGTCATCGAGGACGATGGGCTTCCGTCGGCCTTCACCACTGCCCATGAGCTGGGTAAGGCTGGAGGGGAGGGATGTTGACCTCTGGGGTTGATCTGGATTTGTGATGGGTGCTTTGGAGGGAGAGGAAACATTTATATTTGATTTCTCATATTTTGGCACTGTAGGCATCCATTCTTGGGGCCAGCATCTGCCTTGGCATTGGCTTTAATTTTTTTTCTAATTTCGGAAGCCCAGTTGACACCTGGGCACTTTGGGGAGAACACCTTAAAGACAAGGTGACACACTGCTGTCCTTCCCTGGCTCATAGCCCGATGAAGGAGAGGGGAGACACAAGCTTGTGTCCTTCAAGACACAAGTTAGTCTGTAGGACATCTACACAGAAGACAGTGGACAGGTGCCAGGGACCAGCTTGAAAACCATCACCGGGTTTTCTTGCGTCTCCATCTCCTCTCGCAGCCCCTCCTGCCTGTTCTCAGCCCTCTGCTCCTGCCTCCTGAATCCTCTTGTCTCATCCCACAGGCCATGTGTTCAACATGCCTCATGACAATGTGAAAGTATGCGAGGAGGTGTTTGGGAAGCTCAGAGCCAACCACATGATGTCTCCGACACTCATCCAAATTGATCGTGCCAACCCCTGGTCAGCCTGCAGCGCTGCTATCATCACTGACTTCCTGGACAGTGGGCACGGTAAGTCGGGAGACGAGAGGAGCAGGGCTGAGCGGGAAGACCCTCACTGTTTGTCCTCGATGGCGGTGTTTACCCTCTCTCTACAAGTCCTCTGTACCTGAAAGATGACAAAGAATTGGGCTCTGACATGGCTCTACTCTAGTCATCCCTTACTTCACTTCCCCTTACCATTTAGATTCTAAGCCAGCCAGGCCTCGATTTCCCCAGCTTGTCCTAACACATGTCCTTGGATCTGTGCAGGTGACTGCCTCCTGGACCAGCCCAGCAAGCCCATCTCCCTGCCCGAGGACCTGCCAGGCACAAGCTACAGTTTGAGCCAACAGTGCGAGCTGGCCTTTGGGGTGGGCTCTAAGCCCTGCCCTTATATGCAGTACTGTACAAAGCTGTGGTGCACAGGCAAGGCCAAGGGCCAGATGGTGTGCCAGACCCGCCACTTCCCTTGGGCAGATGGCACCAGCTGTGGTGAGGGCAAGTTCTGCCTCAAGGGGGCCTGCGTGGAGAGACACAACCCAAACAAGTACCGGGTAAGCTCTTATGTCAGGGAATGCTGGGAGAGGGACGAGCCTGGATCTCCACTGCCTTGGTCTTCAATGGAAGCTGTTGGTCACGTTACGACTGTGCCACATTGCATTACTGTGCCTCCATTTCTGTCTGTGGTCTCCTCTTGTCTCTGTCTCTGTCTCTGTCTCTGTCTCTGTCTCTCTCTCTCTCTCGTGTGAGCACACCAGTGTGTGTGTGTGTGTGTGTGTGTGTGTGTGTGTGTGTGTGTGTATGTGTGTGTGTGTGCACGCGCGCATTTGCCGGAGATTTATGTCAGGTTGTTTTGCTCAATTGATGTTCCACTTTTTTTTCTTCGAGAAAGGGTCTCTCACTGACTCTAGAACTGTCTAGTGAGCCCATGGGTTACACCAACCTCTGCTCTGAGGTCACAGCCACCCACTACATCTAACTCTATGTAGGTGCTGGAGGTCTGAACTGAGGTCCCGTACTTGCCTAGCAAGCGCTTTATCCACTGAGCCACCCCCTCAGTCCCCTGTTCTTGTTTGGACACTAAGACTGGAGAAACACTATAACAAGCCAGATAATGTCATGAGGCTTTGATACATGAGATAAAGTCTTTGGCGGTACTGGGGACTCTCAGCTCCAAGCCCTGGGCTTTCCTGTGTAGGGTGGCGCTCTGGGATAGAGCTGAAAGTCTTAACGTGAGTCTTAACTCTCCAGCTCTGTGTTTCTTCCCTCATCAACCACTTCTGTATCCAGGGAGGTGGGATCACACAGATGAACCAGGTGTAGGAATGAAATGAAGCAAAACCCCGGGCATGCTGCAGTAACTGGACACATCGTGAGCTCAGCTACTGTTGTGCTTATCTTTTTTTTTTCTTTTAGCTGAAATATAATTGAACAGAAGTTTCCCCCAGATAAACAACATTGTCAGTTAAGCTGGACCAATAGCACCAAAATATTCTCTGAATGGAATTCAGAATTTATGGTCTTTAGGGCTCATGTTAGGGAAGCAACAGAATCTGTACTTTTCCAGGCAGGAACAAGAAGTCTGTCCTTGACCCTGGAGATGACTACCCCTCTCTTACCCTTGTTCATAGTCCGGAGAGGACACACTACAGAGTTTCAAAGAAGCAACATTACAAAAAAAGTGTCTGGGAATGGGTGTGGTGCAGAATTATTTTCTTAAAATCCTTTTCTGTGACCTGAGAATATGTCCTTAACTAAACCTTCAGCTACTTACTAGGCCAAATCCTTTGAGGAGGAGGAAAGCCGTGAGGGGTAGCAGGATATCAGTGGGCCGAGGGGGAGCAAGGCCAGAAGTGGTCCGAGTGAAGCATGTGGAAGCAGGCTCCTTGGCTATGCAATATTAGGTAGGCAGTTTGGGAGGAAGGTTGTATTTGGCTTGATGGTCACGCTGATGAGTTCAGACTAGAAGGTTCTGAGGACAGAGGAGTCCAGAGGATGTTGGACACAGGCAACATTGCCAGGACACACAGTCTTTCCACTATACTCTCAGTGTTTTTTCTGAACAGCCGCTTCACCATCCTGTGATCTGAAACCTGCCCCTTCACGGGGGCATTACCTTAGTCGGTCAGAGCCCAAGGGCTTATCCTATACATGACTGCAGCCTTGAGGGAGTCCTTCAGCTTTCCTGTTCATAACATCTGTCCGACCACAGTGTCCTCTCTTCCCACTTATTTCCATCTAGGTTTGGGATTCCAGAAATTCTTCAGTCTGGACCTGTAGTCGTTCATACCACTGCCTGTTTCTCTGCTGCCTTCTCATGCCCTGCTTCTCCCCTGTTGCGCTGAGAGACTGCCCCCTCACCCCATCCCTCTGTGTCACAATCTCTTAGATTAGTCACCACCTTGGTTCAGTCCAGCTCACCCTCTTTCTCATGGGTGCCCGCATAGGTGGATGTGGCTGGAGTAAAATGTACCACTGTGCTTGCTGGTCTCAGTTTACATAAAAAACCTGGGGACTCAAATGGGCCGATACAGCGTGTGGAGGACAGATGTCAATCTTGGATGTCCTTCCCTGTGCACACTGGAGGAGCTGTGTGCCACTGAGCCTCGTCTCCAGCCCTGAACTACTTCTGTGTTTAAGTGAATCTTGGCAAGTCCGTTTGGACACCTGATAAACATTTTAAACATGGCAGCCATAAAACTGGGCTCCTCACCACATCCCCTAAACCTGCTTTGGCAACCGCACCTTCCAGTTGTTTATGCCAAAACCATTTGCTCATACACGTAACATCTGATAGCTCAGCCATTCCCATTGACCCTGTGTTCAGAATCGACCCAGAACCTCATTTCTCACTGCTTCCTTGCTGTCAAATCGTTCCAGGCCACATTCCCTCTTCCCTGGAATTTGGCAGTTTTTCCACATCTGCTCTCTGCATTTCTGATTCTCACAGACTGTCGTGAACAGACCAGCAGCCAGTGGGATCCTTTGAAAATAGGAGTTAGGCTAGGCCACTGCCTACACCTACAGGGCCTTCTTCATACTTAGCTTGGAAGGAGACAGCGTAGTCTCTGCCTCCATGGCCTACTTCTGGTTTCCTGCTAACACTGCTGTGATAACGTTGAACCCTCCATGCATCCTTTCTTGGCCATGTCTCTTGCTTCCCCTGCTTGGACTACTCTTTCCATAATACCTACCTGGCTCATACCCATAATTCTTCAAGGCAGGTGCATATCTGAGAACCCAGAAGTCTCTTACACAGAGCAGTCTACCTCACAAAGGCTCCTGTTAGCCCTACTGCCTCCTACTTTTAACCCCATCAGATACACACAAACTCCAGCTCGATTTTACTGTCTGTCTTCCCCTCATTGGGCTGTGGTGGCTTTTAGGGGAGGGGCTTACTGCACCTAGTGCCAGGTATACAGTAGGAAGTGAGCAAATATTAGTGAATGAATGGATGAATGGCAGGCACACAATGAAAGTTTTTGTACAAATAGGTGGAAAAGATTCTATCAAATAGATTTTGTCTACGGTGCTGAATACTGAAGAGAAGCTGAGATGTGAAGGCCTGGGTACAGTCACTCATTCTTTAGGTGACACTGCTGACTTTAGAGAGGGCACCTTCATGAGGGGCTACCCACATGTGGGAAGCTACAACATGCAGGCTTCAGAGAAGCTCAGATAAGGGAAGAGCAGACACATAGTTGACTCTTAGAACACGAAGGAAGGAATGTTAATGCTTTGTGCAAGTAGTTCCTGCATAGGGCCATGTGGTCGAGCATCTATGGATGCTCCATGAGTGACAGCTATACTTCCAGCTCAGCCGTATCTCTGTGCCCAACTGACACGTGTTCCGGGAGTGAGAAGCCAGCCTACTATCATCCTACAAAAAACACAATTAAGATGATAAATCTTTCATCCTCTTAAACAAATGAGCAGATGATGACATCAAACTCACCGTAATTTATCCCAAAGCTGGATAGTGGCTGAGGGTTGCTTCATGCTCTCTCGACACAATTGTTAGCATTGCTGATGCATGTGATGCCTTGAACTTTCTCAAAGGCAGTCCTGATGGAGGTCAAAATCATTCTGGTTTGGTAGAAAGTCAGGACGTTGGCTGTTGGTTACACTGGCCCAAGGTTTGGAGCCAACTATTGATACACTAGCTGCATGCAGGGAAGACTTGGAAATCCGTCATGGAGGCAGGCCAGGGGCTTTCATACGTGCCACCCAATTGGAATCTTCCATGCAACCTCAGATCTGAGTGTTTCTGGTCTCATTTCGTGCAGGTGAAGTGTGAAACCTAGGGAGGTTTGGCTACCAGCTAAACCCACTCCTGTGGAGCAGGCAGAGGCAGGTGTAATAGTCAGTCCACTGGCTTCACAGCCTAAGATGCCTCTTCCCAGAACTCTCATTTCCAACAGGGAACAGTGGGTGTTTGCTGATGAATCAGTTTAAGTGTTGGGTGGGTCTTGGACACACAGACTGTTTGCTTACCATTTTTGTAAAATCTCATGATACAAAGTGGACTTCATTCTAGAGAGGAGGGCTGGGAACTGAGAGCTTTCACTGGGAGCTTCCGTAGGTGAGGGGCTGGGTGTGGCACCTGGGCCTGCTGGAGAATAATCTGCTCTTCCACACAGGTGGACGGCTCTTGGGCCAAGTGGGAAGCATACGGCCCCTGCTCTCGCACCTGCGGTGGGGGCGTGCAGCTGGCCCGGAGGCAGTGCAGCAACCCTACCCCTGCCAACGGCGGGAAGTACTGCGAGGGAGTGAGAGTGAAATACCGATCCTGCAACCTGGAGCCCTGCCCCAGCTCAGGTGAGGAGACGCAGGACAGCGGGAGCCTGGGCCTCCCTCTGGGCTGTGTGCCTGGAGGTCACTCTTGTTCACAAACCTTGCCATCAAGATCTGCGTTCTCAGGAAAGAGCCCAGCACAAGTTTACAAGTGTAAACTCTCCTTGGCACCATCCCTTTAGCCGTTCAGCTTTGGCAAGAGTGTTTTCTCCTTGCTGCTTAGAGCGGGAGGCTGACTGGATCAAGGGATGGGCCTCTAGAAGTCTTCACTTTAGACTGTTTGTTTATTACTCACAAGCCTACCTTGTAAGCAGGAATCCAGGGTCCATAAACTTGGTGGGAAAAATTTATGTTTTAATTTCCAATGATGCTTCTATCTAAAACTTAGTCTCTTCTCAACTTAGAAATTTAGCACTTTTTTTTTTTTTTTTTTTTTTTGAGGACAGGTCTCACTGTGTATCCTTGGCTGGTCTTGAACTCACAAAGATCTGCCTAAAGAGATCTGAGATCAAAGGCATGCACCACCCTGCCCAGCTCAGTGCTTTTAAATTTACCTTTCCACCTAAAATTCAATATTTTCTTCACTTGGGCAACAAAGGACAATAGCAGTATAAATTCCTGTGACTTTGTCATCAGCTGAAACTATGACTATCTTTACATGGTACTTCAATTGTTGAGGAAGTCTCACAATGCCTTTCTGTTCATCCTAACCTCAAAATTATGGCGGTTATATGAGTCATCATTGAGTATTGCTTTTTTAATGCATTACCAAGAGCACATACGTCAGAAGTTTCAAAGTATATCAATAGTTGCTTATCAATAGAATTGGTATTCTTGTAAATGATATAATTTGTGTAATGCATTTAACAATGTAATGAGAAGAGATTTAATTAATAGGGTGCTGAAGGGTTTCATCATACAAAAAATGTTTAGGACGCCCATTATAGAGGAAAATTGAGGCTAGGTATTGGAGAAGGTGGTTGTCGATGTCTTATTGTGTACATGGTATCTTTTGGTTCCAGACAGCTTTAATATTTGGAGGTAGGGATGACTATCATATGGCAGAGGGGCTTTTAGAGCTGGGAGGGACGCTGTCTTTTGTATCTTCCTTGGCTCTTTTTTAGCTTCCTTTATGTGCTTCCTTCCTGTCCAGCCTCTGGCAAGAGCTTCCGGGAGGAGCAATGTGAGGCTTTCAATGGCTACAATCACAGCACCAACCGGCTCACCTTAGCTGTAGCATGGGTACCCAAGTACTCAGGCGTATCACCCCGGGACAAATGCAAGCTCATCTGCCGAGCCAATGGCACTGGCTACTTCTATGTGCTAGCACCTAAGGTGAGTGTGCAGGGACAAGAGACAGGGCCAGAGACTAGTCTTCTTCAGAGGCACACCTCACTGAGCCGCCCCTCTCTCTTTTCTCTGGGGAATGCCGTAGGTGGTGGATGGTACGCTGTGTACTCCCGACTCCACCTCGGTCTGTGTCCAAGGCAAGTGCATCAAGGCTGGCTGCGACGGGAACCTGGGCTCCAAGAAGAAGTTTGACAAATGTGGGGTGTGTGGCGGAGACAACAAGAGCTGCAAGAGGGTCACAGGGCTTTTCACCAAGCCTATGTAAGTTCTGGGCCCTGGAGGGTACAGGCTAGGGGGATGGGAGTGGTGGAGGTGGAGGTGGAATTACTCCTAGGCATCGAAAGCTTGGCTTAGAGTGGAGTGAATGTTAGTGTGGGTGTATTGTTGTATTGTTGGTGTCAAGGCCACCCGTACTCTTTTTGGGCTGATAATCCATCTATGTATCCATCCATGTGTTCATGTATCCATCCATGTGTTCATGTATCCATCCATTCAGCCAGTAAACAAAGATGAAGACACACCCCAATGGGAGATGAGATTTGGGGAGATGGAAATGTTGCTAGGATCTGTCTAGTATTCTAGAGCTGGACTGTGTTGGCTAGTTTGATGTCAACCTGACTCACGTTAGAGTTATCAGAGAGGAGGGAGCCTCAGCTGAGAAAATGCCTCCATAAGATGAGGCTATAGGCAAGCCTCTAGGACATTTTCTTAATTAATGATCGATAGGGGAGAGCCCAGCCCATAGTGGCTGATGGTCCTGGCTTCTAAGAAAGCAAGCTGAGCAAACCAGTAAGCAGCATTCCTCCATGACCTCTGCATCAGCTCCTGCCTCCAGGTTTCTGCCTCATTTGAGTTCCTGCCCTGACTTCCTTCAGTGATGAGCAGTGGTGTGGAAGCCTAAGCTAAAACCCCCTGACCTCTCCAGCTGCTTTGCTCAGGGTGTTTTGTCACAGCAATAGTAACCCTAACACAGACAAGGATGGAGCTGTTGTCAGATCTCAGGTCTCTGATTTCTGCACGACCTCGGGCAAGTGCTTTAGTCTTCAGACTTCTAGACACCTAGTTGTAGATGGATTTCATATTCAGTCTCATGAAGAGGAAGGAACTTAATTTTAAAAAGTTAGTACAGCACCTGGTGTGTGATAAATGCTTAATACATGCTCGTGAGGGAAAAGAGGTGGCATGAGACAGTCACCAGGCTTTTGTGGGCCTTGAGGTCCTGGCCCTGGGATCACATTGAGAAGAGAATGAATGAAGTCTCAGCAGCCAGGGAAATGTGCCCCATAATTAGCTTCTTTTAGTCCAAACTCCAGTGTCTGCAGCTTAGCAGCTGGAGCTTTATGAGGCTGACCACACCCTCCGTTGGAAGTCCTAACCTATGTTCTGGAAGAAGCAGGGTGAACAGAGCATGAGAGATCTCAGTTGGGAGCCCGGTGTATGGTTAACCAAAAATTCATGGGACCAAGTGCAGAAGAGAGAAAGACCAGATGGTCTTCCTGGAGTTGGACTGCCCCCTCTGGACATGACATCCTCTATTGAGCCCCTAGGGGTGCACAGGGAAGCCTCCAGCTCCTTTTCTCCGAGCTCAGTTGTTGCTGATACAGAGTTTTTGAAGCTGTCTTTCTGAAGGACATGCAACAGGGTAGTTACATGAGGTGTTTAGAGGAACTGAGTGGAGCCTGAGGAAGCATCTGCCTTAACTTAGCCTGTGTGGATGAGGATGCAGGAACCCAGAGCAGCGAGCTGACTTACTTAAAGGGAGTTGATATCTGAGTCAAGGCCTAATTCCTGACCCTGACTCCAAGGTCATTACTCTGACCGCATCCAATAACCAACCTTGGACTTGATCACTGTATACTTACATCCTCTCCACTCTCCTCATAATACCTTATGCCTTTTGAGTCTTCGGTGTCAGGTGCTCTGCTCTGTGATTGATGTTCTGTGGGCTTCCTTACCCCGGGACAGTTCTGTGGTGTGTGAAGTTATGAGCTCCATTTTTCATGGGTGAGGAAACAGACTTAGAGATGCTGAGACGTATCCAAGATCAACAGCCACATAAGGGGGAGTGCTTCTTTCTCAAACTTGCCTTTTTATTATACTCTGGATTCACCCAAAAGACAAATTTACTGAAGGACCAAAAGATCACCATGTCCTACAGCCTAGGCATTCAGCTTAACTGAGTCTGACTTTCAGCTTTCTGACTCCTTGAGCTCTGGATGGTGGTCATTAAGCAGCCTTACTCTGTAGATGGAGTTATCTCCAGTCCTGCCCAGAAGCCACTCAGACTCAAATAAACACATAGATGCTTATATTATTTAAACTGTTTGGCCTAATGGCTCAGGCTTCTTGCTATCTAGCTCTTATATCTTAAATTAACCCATTTCTATAAATCTATACCCTGCCACGTGGCTCGTAGCTTACCAGTACTTTACCTCCTGCTCCCCATGGTGGTTGCTGGCAGCAACTCTCTGCCTCAGCCTTCTTCCACCCAGCATTCTCCTCTCTCCTTGTCCCGCCCACACTATCCTTCCTGCCTGGCTACTGGCCAATCAGCATTTTATTTATCAATCAATCACAGCAACATATATTCACAGCATACAGGACATCCCACAGCATTACCCTCTGCTGCCATTTTTTTTTTTGTGATGTATCCCAAACCCATAATCAGTTCTTACTTTGAAGAGGATAAAGGATGTTGCCTTAAGCATCTGTATAATGTATAATCTCTTTACTCTAGGCACGGTTACAATTTTGTAGTGGCCATCCCTGCAGGGGCCTCCAGCATTGACATCCGCCAGCGTGGCTACAAGGGGCTCATTGGGGATGACAACTACCTGGCCCTGAAGAATAGCCAAGGCAAATACCTGCTCAACGGACACTTTGTGGTATCTGCTGTAGAGCGGGACCTGGTGGTAAAGGGCAGCCTGCTCCGGTACAGTGGTACTGGCACTGCGGTAGAGAGCCTACAGGCTTCTCGTCCCATCCTGGAGCCGCTGACCGTGGAGGTCCTGTCGGTGGGGAAGATGACGCCACCCCGGGTGCGTTACTCCTTCTATCTGCCCAAAGAGCCTCGGGAGGACAAGTCCCCTCGCCCCAAGGACCCCCGGGGTTCCCCAGTGCTGCGCAACAGTGTTCTCAGCCTTTCCAACCAAGTAGAGCAGCCAGACAACAGGCCACCTGCACGCTGGGTGGCAGGCAGCTGGGGGCCTTGCTCAGTAAGCTGTGGCAGTGGCCTACAGAAGCGAGCAGTGGACTGTCGGGGCTCCCTGGAGCAGCGAGGAACCTCTGCTTGCGAAGCCGCGCATCGGCCAGTGGAGAAACGAGCCTGTGGGGAACCCTGTCCAACCTGGGAGCTTGGCAACTGGTCGCCTTGTTCTAAGAGCTGTGGCCGAGGATTTAAAAGGCGTCCGCTCAAGTGTGTAGGTCACGGAGGGAGGCTGCTGGCTCGGGACCAGTGTGACCTACGGCGCAAGCCCCAGGAATTAGACTTCTGTGTCTTGCGGCCCTGCTGAGGGGGACTGTCTCTTCCACTCCTTTATTCTCCACCCACTGTTGTGCTGGTGCTGCGGTCAGCTGGAGCAGAGGATGGCGGTCAGTGGCCTGTGTCACAGTGTCACTCAAATCCAGAACAAGGACCATGGGTCTGGGCGAGAGGTTCCTTCCTCCTTGGACTGGGCAGGGGGAAGCTAACTAATGCACAGTCTACCTCATGCCCTGCTCCTCGGGGCCCAGTTGTGGGGAGAGGCTTCAACAGATGGGTGCTGGGCAGAAGGTGCTGAAGCCCAGCTTCCAGGAACCTGGAAGTTGGGTGCCTTCCAGGCAGAACATCAGGGACCTTGGCCCCCCTAACGGAGGCCACAGGCTGCTGGAAGAGCCATGGCCTGCAGCTTGGCACCCTCAGGTGATCCCAGGAGCTTTGACATATCCCTGAACAAGGCAGGGTTCTCACGGTGCTTTCAACCCTCTTTCTTTCTGACTGATGTGGACCTAACAGTAAAATTGTTCAGGTGTCACTAGAAGCCAAAGGGACAAGGAGATGGGGTTCATTTGGGTGCAACTTCCCTGTCTGGGAAAAGGTGGATATGTACAGGGAGTTCCATGTTTGCTCTTCTTCCATCGTGGCCCCCCTTGAACAACCAGCACCTTGGAACCCGGATGGCCAGGGCATTAGATCTGTGGAGGCAGCACTGATGTGGCCCCTGAGGCTTTGTAGGCAGCCAGGGAAACTGCAGGGACCTCTTCTTGGTCAAGAGAGCAACTATGGCAAACAGAGGCTGCCACTTAAAAGGGGAGATGATTTGATGGCTGAAGCAGGGAACACGAGAGATCTAGAAGGTTCTGCTCACACTGGGGTGAGGATGGGTAGGTGCTGAGCTGTGGGATCTGACTTTAGGGATGTCACTCTGGGCTGGGGGAAAAGGAGTTCTCATGATGAAGACACTGCATGGCCCCAGGGAACTTCCACAGTGACCATAGCCCTGTACCCACCGAGGGAGGAGTGGGTGTGCCTGGGAGGGTGAGATGCTGAACACCACCTGCTGACAAGTCAGTCTTCTTCCCTGGCACCTCCTGCTGTCTCCTGTGGGCATGCTACATCACATCTCCAAGTCTTCACCTTTCTTGTAGGTAAATGGGGTTCATTGTTTGCTACCTCAGATCATGCTCTCTAGGACAGAAGTAACGTGATGCTTCCACCATACTCAGTTATCATCATCGTAGCTGGAGCTGCCCAGCCACAGAGCTGAGTGTGTGCGTGGATTCCTGTTTCTCACAGCCTGGCTATCTGCTCTGCTGGAGCTCAAAATATGAAGACAGAATGGGGTGGAGTGTCTTTTTCTTCAGGTTCCTTGGGACCAGGTTTTAGGAAACACCAAGAATCAATGCTCTGACCTAGGGACTCTTGGAAGCCACCATCAGAACTACTGGAGACCCATCTGTCATTCTTGTAGACGTGTCAGGGAAATAGAAATCCAGGTATTTCTTACAGTAGGGTATCTCTTGAAGACCCAGAAGCTCCAGTGTATATAGGGCATCTTCAAAGAATAGGCATCGTGTCCAGGGTCTCAAAGGAGGACTTGATGGAGAGAAGACCAAAACCCTTGTCTTCACTGTGGGGGAGAGGAACCAATGTCAGTTCTTTTACATGTCCCCTGGTAGTCAAAATCTACATACTGGCCAGAGGCCAGTTTAGCCTCTAGGACAGTGGTTCTCAACCTGCAGGTTGCAACCCCTTTGAGGGTAGAGTGACCTTTTCACAGAGGTTACATATCAGATATCCCGCATATCAGATATTTACATTATGATTCATAATAGTAGCAAAATTACAGCTTTGAAGTAACAATGAAAATAATTTTATGGTTAGGGGGAGGTTACAACATGAGGAACTGTATTAAAGGGTCACAGCATTAGGAAGGTGGAGAACCACTACTCTAGGGTGTTATTCTAACGCTGGTTGATCTCCGGGCTGGAGACCTTGGGTAGAGCTCCTACAGCAGGTGAAGGGCATGCAACCCTCTGAGGCTGGGCTGCAGTCACCATCGAAGGAGAGTGTGAGGGGGAAGCAGGGAGCACTGCAGAGCTCTAACAACAAAAGGACCCCAGGGCCTGAGGCCAGCTGATGACAGCGTGGCGCCCTGTGCTTGGTGCATTCTATATCTACAAGTAGAGGTGGTGCTGGGCTGTGCAGACAGGGTTAGGGGTAGGGGCAGGTGGGAAGCAAGGTGACCGGCCTCGAACGGAGCAGTATTGCTGTCAGCTATTTTACAAAATCTTTCAAGGAAGGATGGCCACTCTTGTTCCTGACACATGCCAGGTGTCCACACTCTTTTTTTTTCCCTGTCACAATAGTTTTTATTTTTGATTTATAAATTTCTTCTTTTTTAAAAGAAGTATGACGGAGACAACTTGGGAAGTTCGTCTTGCCTTTGAACATTTTCTGTCAACCTGTGCTGAGCAGAGATGAGGTCAAGGCACAGGTTTCTTGTGATGGAATAAGAAGTCCAAGTGATGTCCCATGACTGTGGAGAAGAACACTCTGGTGGCTCCAGGAACTTCTTCGCTGGAATATGGACCAGTATGACTTCGGGTTTGGGATCCCCTACCCTCTTTTGCCTATTGTGTGCACTGATTGGAGGATTTAGACCCAAACACCCTCTTATGGACTTGGCCATGTTGGGGGAGGGGCTGGAAGGAGCCCAGCTTGGAAGTCAGCTGCTGGAGACTCTAGACACTGTTGTTGGTAGAGCCCCTTCCCCGTCTGGGCTTGCTTCTTTTGCATTTTGTGTACTGCAGAAGGATGAGAGGGTCTGGGGACTGGCTGAGCGTGTATACTGTGTATACATGGGAGCTGGCTGCTGAGGTGACAGCAGCCTACTCCTAATAAAGTTGGATGTATTTAAAACTTGCATCTTGTTTCTGTCACTGTATCTCATCCGTGGATACATTCTTCATGCTATGGTGGGGGTGATGGGGACAATGGCCTCAATGGCAGCCCCACCCAACCCTTCGAAGTCTCAGTTGATCAGGAGGTAGAACAAAGGGACTATGTTATGAAGGGCTGCAGTGAGTGTAAAGAAGAAATCCAACCACTTAAAAAAAAAAATCCAGAAACCTAGTTGGCCCAGAATCCAAGGTCATCTCTCAGAATCTCGTTTTCTATCTACAGAGTGAGAAGGGTAGATTGAAGCATCATTTATGATGCCTTGTGCTTCATCCTTTTGGCTTCTAGGCACAGCGATGGTTGAGATGTTGGTGGCGACCTAATTTTAGTTTGGGTTCAGAAATAGATGGCTTTTTTGACTTTCTGGCTGAGAACAACAATGTAGTTAGAGTTTTCCTGCCTTGCCCACAGTCAGGACAAATCTCTATCACCCGCCAGTCCCACAGCCACTCAGACCCAACCAAGTAAACACAGAGACTTACATTGCTTACAAACTGTATGGCCGTGGCAGGCTTCTTGCTAACTGTTCTTATATCTTAAATTAATCCATTTCCATAAATCTATACCTTGCCACATGGCTCGTGGCTTACTGACATCTTCACATGCTGCTTGTCATGGCGGCGGCTGGCAGTGTCTCCCTCTACCTTCTTGTTTTCTCTGTTCACCTCTCTATTAGTCTTGCCTATACTTCCTGCCTGGCCACTGGCCAATCAGTGTTTTATTTATTGACCAATCAGAGCAATTTGACATACAGACCATCCCACAGCATAATTTCTCCATATGCTTGGCAGCCCCTTCAGATTTGCTGGTGAGGAGGACAGAGAGGAGGTTTGCCCAGAGCTTCAGCTCTTTGGGGGTCTGGGGAAGGGCAGAACCAGCCAGAAGTATCTACAGGACTCTATGGAGTACCAGAGGCCTGGAAAGGACATTGAGAGGCTTGGGTCCATGCCCAAGATCAATGGATCACTGTAACAACTTTGTAAAATTGCCTATGACATGGTTATCTTCTTGGGCGTCATTTTTGTTTGCCCCCTGGTTTCCATTGCAGCAGTTGCTGGTAGGACTTATCTAAGGTAAAGGTCCTGTGGGCTGGTTTCAGGCAAGGGGATGTCAGCAAATGGAGGGAACAGAAGGAGGCTGGGTTCCACTGGGAAACCAGGCCTGGAGCCTCAGGAGAACAGCCAAGGTAACACAGAGGCCAGTGCCCATGCAAGCTGCCTTCCAGAGCAGACAAACCTGCCTGTGTATGTTTATAAGCTTTTTAGAGAAGGAAAGAGCAATTTCCTAACTTTTCTGGCTTTTGATGAGGGGCAAGGATAGTTTGCTTTGCGATGTATCTGTAGGAAGAAAATGCATTCTTGTCCCAGTAGAAAAAAAATGAAAAACCTGCATAACTTTGCAAAATAGTCTTGAGTCCCTGAGCTAAACTCTGCCTGCCTAGTGAGTCCTGGCAGGTCCCCAGCAGGCTGAGCTGGCAGAGGCAAGGGCAGCGTGTATGACCCCAGAGTCTTTCCATTGATCCTTGGCTTGTACCCAGCCCTCCCTGGGTGAGTCAGTCCTCAGGCTGCAATGCTGGCAACAAATCCCAGAAGAACGAGTCTCCCTTCGGGCCCTTCAGACGCCACCGTGTCACCTCCCAACCCACACAGCTCTGAGAAGGTTGCAATGAAATGCTCACTGCTCTCAAGCACTGCTAAGCAGAGCGCTGCATAGAGAAAACCCATTTCTCATCCTCCTCTGCCCATCCCAGGCCTTGGAGGACTCACCCCACCCGATCTGCTCTTGGAGCTCTATTGGGAAGCCGTCTATTGTCTTGTCTGGGCGATGGTCAGTAATGCAAACCAGGTTCCAAGAATTGACAGGAATGTGGTTAAGAAGATAGGAGGCATTCCAAAGGAAGAAACAGAACTGTTTGCCTCCTAAAGGGAGCAGTTTGGGGAGAAAGGACAAAACAGGGAGATGGTGAGATAAGGACATCTGGAAAAACAACAACTGTATTTTGGGGAAAAATGGAGAGAGCATAGTCCCGGTAAATGGCTGGAGGCTGGTGAGGTCAAAGTTGCACCTCAAATCCTGCTTTTGCTTCCCTGTCCCCTCCCCCACCCTGCTGTAGTCGCAGACAAAATATAGGGCCTTGGACACTCCGTCTTTGACTCTGACCAAGTGTTCTGATGGCAGGGAGACCTCTCTCAAAGCTAGAGAGTGAGCAAACAAGGCAGGGTTTGCTGTTGGGAGGAGGATCATGAGAGCGCACACAGCCTTTGGGCATTCTAGGGAAATGAGGCCAGGAAGCTGAACTCTTGGAGTGCCCGTTTTTTGGTGAGGTGTGCTGAGCCTCCTTCCAGATGTTCCCCGTGCTCTTTAGGAGCACTTGTCGTCGAGAGGCAGGGAGCCAGCTGTCTGACCCTTTGTTTTGCCCTGAAGCATTTCTTGTATGGAGCATGTTCCTGACATAAGCCTTTGGGGCCCCTGAAGGGCCCATCAACACACCCTGAACTTGCCCGAGAGTCCTGTAATATCTCCTACTAGGAGACCTATTCTCTTAATTGCTTTCTTGGCACAATTCCCAGCGGAGCTTCTGACGTCTCAGGGTTGGGAACTGACACGTGGAAACCACTTTGCCACCAAAGGAACCTTAACTTCAGAGAAGCCCAGACAACTGGGAGAGTCTGAGCTACTTTGAGTGACAGAGGAGGAGAGAAGTGTAAGAAGTGAACAAATTTTGGGCACGGGGCCCCTTATTTTCTCTGAAACATCCAGAACTGTTAAGAAATTACTGATTTCTTTGAAACAATTATGAAATATTTGAAATATACAGAAGGTACAAAGGATGAGAAAATAAAGCTTAGGTACCAATCACATGGTACAAAACGTAAAAGCACTACCAGCTGTGGGGTAGGAAACCTCTAACCCTAGCACGTGGGAGGAGCGTGAGTTGGACACTAGCCAGTGCTGCGTGGTGAGATCCTGTCTCAACCAAACCAAAACCAAACCAACCAACCAACCAACCAAACAAACAAACAAAACTTCACTCACTCATTCAGTCGGATTCAGTGAATAGTTAAGACCCTCATCGATGCCTCTTGAGTTCTGCCCTGGTGGTAAATATCATCCCCAGTTTGGTGTTGGTCTCTCCCAGTCATTCTTACAGCCTTCTGCTGCACATATGCATTCCTAAGCAGTAGATAGACATGCTTTGCATGCTTCTAGCCCGCGGATAGACAAAATAGCAGGTTACATGCTCTTTCTTCCAAATTACTTTCTTCTTTTCTTCTTCCTCCTCCCTCTTCTAAGAAAAGAAAGCGTTTAATTGGGCTTATGGTTTTAGAGGGTTAGTGTTTATGATGGCAGAGCAAAGGTATAGCAGTAGGAACAGCTGAGAGTGCACATTTTAATCCACAAGCTGGAGGCAGAGAGAGAAAGAGACAGACTGAGAATGGTCCCAGTCTTTTGGAGCCTCAAAACCCACCCACAGTGACACGCTTCCTCTGACAAAGCCACACCTTTTAATCTTTCACAATTCTACCAACCGGGAACCAAGCATTCAAATGCATGAGCCTACAAGGGCCATTCTCATCCAAACTACCTCATCTACCATCTTTTATAATTACCCTTGCCAGTATTTTTTAGTTTTTTTCCCAACATAATATTTTTATTGGTTATTGATTATTTGTGAATTTCACATCATGCACCCTGATCACACTCACTTCCCAGCCCTCCCAAGTCACCCCCACTTCACTGCCCCTTCCCAAAAAGAAGGAGAAAACCCACTATGTCTGATTTGTGTTGCCCATATACTCACTGGAGCATGGTCAAACTCCCAGTGGCCAGTCCCTTAAATAAAACTGAGTCCTTTCCCACACTCACCCCCACCAGAAGCCATCAACTGTGGAGAGCTACACTTCAGCATCCTTATTACAAATTTTAAGGGGTCTCTTTGATGGCTTTCTGTCTAGGCTGTTACTTTTTGGGAATGGGGTGGGTTGGGGGTAGGGGTTGTCACAGAAGCCTGTTATGTCCCTCTTTCTCAACTGTGAGTCTGTAGTCATCAGTACCACTGTAAAAGTAGCTTCCTTGCTGTTTACAGTCCATGGGAACATGGATCATGGACTTCCACATGGTTTCTGGCAACAGCACAGACCATGGATATTCACATGATCTACAGCCTCAGCACATGACACAGACCTCAGCATGGTCTCCAGTGGCGGTACAGACCATGGACGACGACGACGACGACGACGACGACGATGGACATCAACACAGCTCTTTGCTTCAGCATGGGCCCCAAATACCATCATAGCCCTCGGAGGCAGCATGGGACAACAGGGGCTACAGACACCAATATGGCTCCTGGTGCAGCTGGGCTCATGGACATCAACATGGCTTCAGATGGCAGCACAGACCACGAACATATGCATGGCCTTTGGTGGTAACAGGGGTCAGAGACATCAACACGATCCCCAGCTGCCACTGGACCATGGACACCACAATGGCCTTTTGGGGCAGCATGGATCACAGACATCAACATGGACTTAGGCAGCAAGCAGTACAGGCTACTCACATCAACGTGGCTCCCAGCGGCAACATGGACCGCAGACACCAATATGGCCTCCCGAAGTAGCACAGACTACGGACTTCCCCCTGGGCTCTGCCAGTAACATGGGCATCAGACATCCACATGGCCTCCAGTGGCAGCCCAGACCGCGGACATCCACATGAACCTTGGGCTTCAACACGGCCTAGGGCATCAGACCATGGATACCAACATGGCCTCCAGGGCCAGCACAGACCAGAGGGTCCAATCCAGAAAATGAATTGTTCTTCATCTTGGACATCCTGCCGCTTCTCAGAGCCAGGATGATCCTGTGGCCAGGCAAAGTGTTGGCGGGCTGAGATTGCACAAGGTCCAGTCTACTGCACACCACCTTGCTGACCCTACTCCACAATGGCCGTTC